GAAAGAAATAAACTCTGTAATCTTTTATTAAAACAGTACAATTTTCATAGGGTAGAATAGATAGAATTGGAGGGTGGGTCCTGTTACTGAATGTCAACTTAAATGAGGCTACTAATGAAAGAGAAGGGAAAGGGAGGCATCAAACCACCGCTTAGGAATCCTTGTCAAAGATTTTACAAATTAAAAAGTACAAGTGTCATAATACCAATATAAGTTGTATTTTATTTGTTTGTTTTTGTTTTATTATTTTGTTTTCATCAAGTAAAAGCCAAAGAGTGTTATGGTCAGCCGGATACCTTTAAGGGTGGAACAGGGGATGATTAAAGTGAAATTCTACATTCTATGAAAAGAAGTTACCTATTGGTTATAGGCGAAACGATAAAGCATCACTATACTGATAGTGATGTTATAATTCCTCATGGAAGAAAATTCAAGATGTTACTGCATTTGGGGCTAAAATGCAAAATTCATGACTTCTCAGTGTCAGATGCAGACCCCGAACTGTTCATTGCAACAGTCTAAGGCAGAGTAGACAGGCAGTTGAAAATGACAGCATAGAGTCATTACAATAGTCCATGTAGAAAATAGCTGTGGCCTATAAGCAAAGGACTAAGAAGAGGAGTACATATGCAAAATACTTATACTTCATTTTCTTTTTTTTTTATTTAGTTAATTGTCTCTACTGCTATTAACCTAGCATATAATATAAATGCCTCAAAAATGAAGTAGTCCCAAGGGATATGACCAAGCGTATTTTACCAATGTGCTGATGTATAATTAGCTCTCAAAAAACAAATCTATGCCATTGATGTAACTAAAACAAACTCTACACATTTAAAAATGTTTATTAATGTTATCATGTTAAAATACATCTGAGCTCCTGCAAGAGTGCAAATATTACAACTGTTGACACTTTGTTGCTCCGTATATGAAACTGTTGTTGCATGGACGACAGTGAGTTCTGTCACTGGGATTGTATGATCCTGGGCTGCAGACAACTTCGGGCAAGAAAAAAAAAAAGGTGATATTTAAATGATATTGATAAAAGAATTACTTGAAGAATTGCAAAGAATTACACTGGAAATGTTTGGAATGTACCTTTATTTGGAAAACAAAAACTGATTTTTTCCATCATTCTGTCACTGATGATGAAAAAGATTTATATATTTTATACATCTACATTTATTTTATAATACTGCATTTTTTCTTCAGCACTTACCACTGCATCTACTTTTTCCACCAGTGAAACCTTGAAATGGTTGATATGTGATAATGTTTTAATGAAAACTACTATAGCTGCTTGTATAAATAATGGAAGATAAAGCTGAAATTTGAGGTCTGGTCATTATTAGAAAGTAGTGGACAAATAATCCATCAAGTGAGCAGAAATCAGTGTTTGTGTAGAAAGTATCTATAATCAAATGTTTTTTTCCAGTTGGTTCATGTTACACCATTTGATTAAGTCCATATGGCCATCTGAGGAATGACTTGATTTTTTGTCTATAAATGAAAGACTAACTCAGCACTAGAGTCTTGGCAGAAGAAAGCAAAATTTAAGCTGTTTGATTGTTCCTATCCTGAGCCCGTCTTCATTTTGGCAACTGTAACCTTTCTTTAGGAGAGATTTCATTTTTAATCAGAATTTTTAAAATTTTCCTTCCCTTTACAGAACAGTTGCCCACCTGTCTGGGGGGTTTTGCCTAGCTTAATAATGACTCCTCGTCAGTACATCAGAATTTTTAGGGAGGATTTACAATATTTTGTATGCTTTACCTTAGGTGATCCTCAGGGGCTGCCATGACCTTGTCTAGCATTATTTGCCATTGCTATTGACTCAAGAGAGTTTTAGGCGTCTTTCTTAGAAAATTTCAGAGAGCAGTCTCATATATGACATTAAGATCTTGTATTTTTAGTATATTAGCACAGGCAGATCAAGACAGCTTTACTGGAAACATAAAGCTTTACAAATGCATGTAAATCAGAGGCATTTCCCACCCTATGCATCAATCCACTTGTGCACCAGAGGAATATTTATATTATTTACTGAAAATTTTAGGCACACTTCTAGTAAATCCTCCAGTATCCTTCAGTTTAACCGCAGCAAGGTAAACTTCTCTTACATTGGAATTTTAAGTTGATTGTAAGCTTATTTCCTAGTAGAATGTTATCCAGGGGAAAGCATGAAAGGAGAAGGGAATGTGAAGTGGGTGACCTGTAGCTATTCAAACAGCTCCTCAAAAAATGTCTTTAACTAGTAAAAATAACTTGTCTCCATCTTTTTTCACTGAAGGTGAACTCGTATGCATATAGCATCACTCTGAAAGTATAAACATCTTAGAAAAGTAATCTGTCTTTACAGCATATTTTATGGACTAGCCATTTCACACCTCACCAATTTAAATGAATGTAACATTCCAATTTGTTTTGCATCCTAGGAGCTAACATTGTTTTTGATTCTCTCCTGATTTTTAGGACTCCTTCAATATTGTTTTGAATAATAAATTTCCTTGTGAAGTTTCAAGTTATTACATTTTCAAAATATAATCACTTTATAGTATGAAAGAAGTGAAGAAACAAAAATTAGAACTATTACATTATCTAGTCTATTAAAAATCACCTTAGAACATGAAGCTATGCAGAATAATAAGGCAAGACCAAAAAAAAATCATAAAGCTAATGTGGGTTATGTTATCAAGTTGTGTCTCCAGACAAGTCCTATGAAACATAAGAAATTTTGCACCATATTAATGTCGTGGCTGCATCTGAACCACCTCGTCCCCCTTCCCCCCCCCCAAAAAAAAAGCAATTAAAGAATATTTTTAAAAGCAGGTGAAAACTAATATTTAAAGATTTTGTTCATGTGTGACTCCATCAGTCCTGTTAAGGAAACTTTACAGGTGGATCATATCGCACATAGCAGTTATCTAAGCATTTAATTGACTTATCCTGGAATGCTGTGCTTCATTTAATATAAAACAGGGCTTTATAAGTAGAACACAAAAATTATGAGGAGTCATATGAAATAATTTCTAAGATGTTTGGACCAGAAGATGAGACAATAGCGCAAGCTTTAGCGCTACTTTAATATACAAGCAAAAGGGAGAAAAGAAAAGAAAAAAAAAAAGGAAAGGAAAAAACAAATGAGGACATAGTACGATATGAAAGAATGTGAGACCAGATTATGGGGACCAAATTAAAGCAAGTTCCAGTATAGAAGATTTAGAGTGGTAGATGATATGGTGAAATGGTTATCTTTAGTGCACAAACTGTGTGGCAGCAGTATGAAAGAAATGATGTGTTGAGTTTTGTGCACTAAAGAACCACAACTACTGGGATGTGATGGGAAACTAGATACTATAAGTAGTAGTAGATTGAACAGGATAGAACAGGAATAACTGAACCTGTTTTACTGTTTCAGAGGTAAAGATAGAGCAGCTGTGTATGGGAATCCTGCAGGAGATACGCATGCCCTATTTCATCTTTTCTTCTTGTTATCAATAGTCCACCTTATAACCTTCCCTTTTCATTATTGAGACCAGGAGCCTAGAAACACGCTATTCAGAGCTTAATGTAATTAAACTAGAAAGTCTGAATACTATCTTTTCCAGTGTTCCAAAACAGAAATGACACATGAAAGACTATTACCTGAGGTCTGCAATAAAACCGTGGTGCTGGTTTTAGCACCACAGCCCATGCTTAGTGCTAACCTATAACTGGGGAGTAAGAAACATGTTGTAATTTTTTTCAGAAAAGAAAAAAAAAAAGCCAGGAATCTACAGATCAGGCTCCAAGGCTATGTAAACTTTCATGAATAAACATTTAAACAGATAAAGGTAAGCTGAAAATGATGAAGTTCCATTAGTTTTATAATAGAGATAAATGTCTAATTAATTTGAATATGATAAGGCAGCACATGCAAACATACTACATTAGAATAAAAATCAGGGAAAGAAAAGACAGTAGTGAATGAAGCTTAAAAGGGGAATTAAGGTTTGGGGGCGGATTCTTAAAGGGATTACTCTTGAGCTTACTCTTAGATTTATTAAACATTTTCACAAACAAGGTTATCAGAAGAAGTCCCAGTGAAATATGCTGACAAGATAAAATTGGGAGATGCTGTCAGTAAGGACAAGATTTAAATCGTCAGGAAGAAACAAAGAATGAGAAAGGCCAGAATATTTGTTTAGAGAGATCTTTGAGTCACTAAGTCAGCACTAAGATCTGTTACAACCCCAGATGAACTAAAATGAATGCTATTTGTCATAGCTCTTTGGGTTGATACTGGTGTGGATGTACGACTTCTATCTAGTCCTGCAGGCAAAGGAGTGTGGCAGACGAGAAAAAAGTATTAATGTCCCCTATTAGAGCTAAGAGTAAAGTTCTATTTTATATTGAAAAGGAATACAAATTAGTTTGGAATGGAGTAAGACTTCAGGTTTAGGTCTAGAACAGAGCTATGACTTGTGTGTGGTGGCGGGGGAGAAGGGAAAGTGCACTTCTCGATATCTTGTTTCTGTTTGGGTCAGCATAGGTATCAATGAAGTCTGGGAAATATGATTTACTTTCATGGAAAATTAAGCTAAAGAAGATCAAATACTGGTAACTATATATGTTAACTGCATGTTCTCAAACTTTTTTTTTAAAGACTGCATAGGTTAGCAATAAAGTTATTTTAAAACATAAACAGCACTTCTTAAATTATTAAAATATAGTCATCTTGTAACATGCCTATATGGATTGCTAAAGGCTGTTGTATTAATGGGAATGAGCCTTTGCCAAAGGGAAGAAGAAAAGGAGGAAAGCCCATGGCAGAACTAGTCTGTGCGTAACAAAACTTCCGAAAAGAAAGCAGCTTTTCTGAAAGATATTTTAATCTCCCTTTCCTTGACATAATGTTCAACAACAACATACAGGTAACCTAATAAATTCTGTATGTATTTAGCCCTTCCAATGATTTGTTACATTTTGCTGCAAGGCATCAATCAGCAAATTTAGGTTTCTTCTTTTAATGAAAAATAATTGCAAAAACACAATCACATGTGGAAACATTGCCTACATTCTGCGATTTTACAGTCGTCTCACTGTTTTCTATTTCCTGTGTAATCTTAACATTTCTTTTTAATGTGTATTTTTATTCTGTAAACCATGTTTGAAATGTAATCTAATACTTTCACTATGAAAAGCTTGACTACAGATTTATTCTATGTATGTCTGTCTTCTGTTGCTCCTTTGAGACTTAAGTCTTGTGATTTAGATGGGTATTTTTTAAAATAATAATTCAATTCTTAGTATCTACAGATACTAATAATTCTTAATATCTTACTTGTTTTAATATGCAGACTGGTGTGAGTAAAATTACCATAATTTGATCCACCCTCTTTCATTTTATCCCAAATGGATCACAGATATTTACAAATTTTAACTTCCTTCTGCAAAGTTATTGTTTCATATGTGATTGTCACTTAATTCAAGACTAAAATGTGAATTTAATGTAATTTTAATTTGTTAAGTTTTTAAGAAAGCACTGCATTAGTAACCCTGCTTTTAAAAATACTAAAAACAAAAATAATTCAGCCTTGTTTGTCTCACCTGAAAAATAGCATTTCAAAGGAAAAAGACCTAAATCTGAGTGATTTTAATTTAAACTGTCCCTAGAAATTGGGGCTTTGGCTTCTAAATCAACAGGATCTTAAAAAAGATTCTCCCAAGTAGTAATAGCATCAGTAATAAGTATTGGTTACCTTGACAGACCTGACCAAACCACACTCAAATGGCCTAAACCTGTATGGCTGAACAGGTTCATGAGGCTGAAGAGCAAGTATTCAATCAGCGCAAAAGACACCTTAGTAACATTAAATACTTAGTGTGATAAATTTGTCACGTACCACAACAATCTGGGCAGTCTGGATGACTTACAGGATTCATTCCATATCCTGGATAGCAGCGGTCAATCCATACCATTTGCAGAGTTCCTTCAATGTAATATATTTCAGGCAGCGGGTCAGAACTTTTCCTTGTAATTTCTGCTTGATGCTTAAAAAAATTCTCTATGAGAATTCTGGCCTAAATTGGAAGAATATAGTTTTTTTTCAAAATCTTTGTAACAAAGAAGTAAAGATACACAAAAAAAACACCTGAGAATGTGCTTATGAGCTAGGACTGGCATAAGATTTAAATGAATCACTGCTAAAGTTTTTGATTGTAGTTGATAGCTGAATGGAAACAGCAGGACAATGTGGTATTCTTGGATACGCTATTTTTAATTTAGATAATCTCTGATCAATTAACACAATATCTTGAAATTGGTGAAGATTGTATAAATAGAATTTGAAATACAATCATAGCAATTTTGCCCACATTATACTTCTGTAGCCAAAAATCAATAGCCTTATGGCTTTCCCACCTACGTAAGTACTATTATTTAGGCCCATTTTTATTTCAAAAATAATTTCTATCTTTGTTAGCTGTCTCCATTCAATGAAAAGAAAATGCTAAGAGTTTCTTAGGACCAAGTAAACTAACGAGATTATTATATCAATCAAACGTAATAACAGTAGACTATTTCACTTACTGAATAAGATTTGCAAAATCACAGCCTGAGAAAGCAAAAACATAATTTTCAAACAGTACAGAACTAGCAGCATAAAACTACTGAAAAATCAGGATTCAAGGCTTAATAACAAGCTTAACAATACCTGTTCTATTTCCCCGCCAAAGGCAACATATGCTTTTTAAAAGTTTTTTATCTTCTCTGGATTTTGTCAGCATTTTACAAAATACCTCCCACTGGAATATTAAAGATACTAAGTCATAGTTAAATTAAAAATGGTGAATTATAAACTGTAAGACAGATAAAATATGTTACGAAAAAAATAGATCCATTAGCAATCTGAAAAAGTCTGTCAATAAGAACTGTAAGTTCTGTATAATCAGAGTGTTCTTCATTTGTTCAGAAGAATTTATTATATATTTTAAAAGCTAAATTGAAGAAAAGGAAAAAAGCAATGTATACGCAAATTACAAAAATGGCAAAACTGAATCTGTTTTGGCTGTATTAATTTGACCCTCTTGTCTCTATGAAAAAGATGAACTTTGATCATGAGCTTCTTCCACAAATCTGGGATTTTTTCAGTGGGCAGGATGGAAGTTGCTTAATGAATACTGAGTATTTTAGACTTCCTAGCCCCTCCAGAGGAATCCCAAAGAACGAATTAGATACCTACTATTTTTCGACAATAGGAGGGGAAGAGATAGATTATTCAAAATGGTGTTCAAAGCAAAAACTATACTGAGGAGAGAGAGCACCTAAAATTGCTGCAATATGAACAAGTTGTTTAGAGGAAATCCCCAGAAACACTGAGGTCATGATTGTTCTCTTTTCTACTTGCCTCTAGTGCCTTAATGCAGGACAATATGTTGAGGATTCACAGAATTTTCTTCTGAATGTGGGCATACAAAAAGAAAAAAAATGTATCTTTTAACCAGATATCATCTCTATGAAAATATGACCCAAAGAGAATCAAGCCCTAAACCTCCTATAGAGCGGCATGTAAAGGACTTCATCAGCATGTTTATGAAATGACACTTCTTTGTTGTGACACTTCTTTGCAGAAGTTCCTTAGCAATTTATCTTTCCTCCTCTACAAGAATTTTTCTATGAAATTCCGCCCCTTTCATACCCCTTCCTTCCTCTTTTCTTTATTTCCTCTCTTCTAGCAGCAGGTATGTCTTCCTCCTGTCCTTCCCTGCTGCTGTTTTACTTCCCTCTCTAAGAATATCCCTGTCAATTCTTCTGAATTAACAGCTAGGACATTCACCTAGAAAGGGAGAGTTTGTTTTTGGTTCACCACAGCACGTACCAAAAGTCTACAAGCAGATAAAATTTTATCAGATCAGCCGTAAGACCACTTTGAAGTGATGAAAAGGCACTTTCCATTGCAAAAGAGCATGTTTAATGTCTATAAGTTAGTACATGTTCAAAGCTTTCTCACTGTCCTGCTGCTTTTCATACTTAGTATTTCACTTCAGTGTAATTAGCTCCCCACCTATTACGAACAATATCAACTGTTCTCAGTACAAGCTGATAGCATGATCTGCCTTATCCATAAAATTAATAGAAAAATAATTTTAACTGACAAAACTTTTATATCCAATAGTTCATTTCTAAATTCACTAAATACAGTGTGTTTTATGATGCTTCCTCTATCTATCTACTGTACCTTGCTTAATCTTTCAGATGTGCCACAAGTGCTTTGTTGACATGGTGTGTTGCTTTTTCCCTGGTCTAATGAAGCAACTGTAACAACATACAGTCTATTTACAGAGGAACAAAATTAATGAAGTCAACACCAAGCTTTTCTTTCTTTTTGTTTGTTTGTTTGTTTGATGATTGATTGCTTTATTACTTAAAGATTCTGGTCATCTCTGATGCAAGTTTGTTGGAATTTCTTCCACATTTCAGATTTCTGATTTGCAACAATGTTTTTTAAAAAACACATTACTTAAACTTCTATGTCTAGTTTTCAGTATACTTAAATATTTCGTGGAAGCTGACATTTAATTGTAAATTCGGATGACAAGGAAATGTATGATCTTGAAAGCTTCCCAAAGTTGTAAATATTTGAATCCTTTAAAGAGAAATACGTTACTCTCTAAAAATTCCTGCATGTCACACTGTTTTTGTACTCTAATTCAGCAAGCCAGGAACCCCCGCATTTCAAGGTTCGGGCTATTTCTGCATGAAATCTGTATTTTCTCTCAAGAACAATCAGGACAATGTCTAGTGCTCTCAAACATATCACCCTCTTATCCCACCCTGCCCCAGCAAGGCAGGGGAAATAGTACAGTTTGATAAAACAAATTACTTTAGCTACTAGTAGTTTTTCAACCTGACTAGATTCATGTGGAATGTGAACTCATCATGGATATGTCTACCAGAGCTTTCCTCCTCTCACATCTCAGTTCCTCTTATTTACCAGCTCAACCCCTTCTATTCTCATAGGAATCCCTATGAGTTACTGACCTGAAGAAAGATTGGAAGTATGGATTGAGGAAAGATATATGGTTACATTTTATTAATTAATTCATTTGCATGGGTCCATGTTCCTAATCAGTTAACAACTACAAACACATTATGGCAAGGGTCTGAGGAATAGCTAAGTAAGAGGATGTAGGTCTCCAGAACTGGTATTAGATTTAGGAACCATATATTAAAAGCAGGATTACCTGTTAATGTGTGAATTTAAGTCTTCATATTATAAGCTTTAAATGTCTCTGCAGTGGAAGTAATTCTGAAACACCAAGTACTATTTATAACTCCAAAAGTATTTTCTTAGGCATCAAACTACTAAAAAGTCTGTGTTTTACCACTGTCATGACTCAGCCTTTAAATCCATTTGAAACTCTACCTGGAGAATTTCTCCTCCTAATGCTCAAACACTGTGGGAGACATGCCTATTGGCTGAATCTCATATATTTCAATAATCCTAGAATTAACCTAACTATCCTATTAGTATTGAGACTCTACATGTATGTAAGCTCTATCTATTACAAATTCAGTCTTTAGTTTCAAGAAGTGAGGGAAACGAAGTGTGGGTGCTATACTTGAAGAAAGAGTATATTCAAATTGCCTATCTTGGTACTTAGTGACTAATATGAAATGTATAAACGTACATGCAAAATGTATAAAAAAACAGTGGCCTTTTGAGAGTTGAAAGACTTAGAAACTAAGTTCAGCAAATTATTAAAGATGTCCTTGTGTACATTCAGCCTGCCAGTTATAACATTTTGCTGTATCTTTTTGGAATTTAGATGGTTTAATAACATAAAGTATTTCAAATGAACTACCCATTGATTGGGGGTGCTTTACAGTTGCTTTCAGACCTCATTCACAGCGTAAAGGAGCTGAGTCTTTCATATGGTTTCAGTGTTCAGAGGAATACTCTGAAAGAGTCTCGAAAAGAACAAAGTATCTCCCGAGACTCACTGAGATTTTCATTTAAGTATAAACCCACCCAGATATGAGGTATCCCAAAATTTTATACTTACTCCAACACACATTGTTATTTAATTTTAATTGGATAATAATTAGGCATTGAATAATGAGACATCCTGTCTTAGCCCACTGTATAGAAACTGAAACTCAGAAATAATGTAAAATGAATACTTTTGAGTAGCCCAACTTAATTTTTTGCTATTGACATGAATTTTGCATACAATATTTTTCACTTTTACAATCTTGAATCTTTGTTATTAAACAAAATGTGCACAATATTTTCTACATATATGTAGTAAGTATATTCCACTAAAATAATTTTCATTAAGTGTATTATTAAACATTCTATAAAACCAAGGTAGATTTTACCTGAGAATGTAAAGAAGATTTCATTCTGTAGACCTGCTCTCTGCATTTTTACATGATGACATTCTGACTTAATTAATGTAACTTCACAAGAAAGTTCAGCCACAAGCTTGGTTAGCAACTGAAGCAATGTTTTCTCAAAAGAAATATTGTAAATACTGTTGCAAGGGGCTGCATGATACTGAACTGTAAACTCATAATAATAATTTGGGTCAGAATAAGCTGCAGGAAAAAAAATGTAGATGATGATGAGACCCATATATAAAGTAAAAAGTAGAACGTAATTTCTGTATTTGAAAATAAAATGCCAATTTAAATTTTAATTTATAAACAAAATCTTTTTTTGCACCCCCACAGAATTTTTACTGATAGACTAATGTGTGCTGGGTCCGTTGGAAATACTTAGAGATATTTACAAGTGAACAGTTTTATTTATATCCACATGTAAGTCTTTTTTTTTATTAGTGGGAATTTTTTTTTCTTTTTTAATTTTGGTACCTAAACAAGCCTAACAAATACCTATACATATTGTATAGGTATGAAATTTACTTTTAAGGATAGATCAGCTATTTCACCTCTACCATGAAGCTAACTGCACACCTGAATATCTATTACAAATATACTAGCATAGCATAAAATGTGTTTTCCTACTTATTTCATAATAATCACTCTACAAACCTAAAACTGTAGATCAACAGAGTAGCAGGTTAAAGGGCAGTTAAGAAAACCGGGGTAACAGAAGGAAGAATGGAGCTCATGGGGTGGGTAGAATCATAGAAAGGAGAACATGGGGCAGGGGGGAGGCATGAAAGAATAAATTAGAAGAAACTGAACCAGCTGAAAGAGAAAAATAAAGCAGCAGAACATGCAGAATATGGTACCCAGTTAAGACAGCTCATCAGATCTTATGTCTTTTTGTTGCCTCCCCCAATTCTTTTTCCTTTTTGTTGCATTTTCTGAGTTTTTTTGTATATTTGTATCAAACTTGAATTTTGTATGCTAATATTTAGACTGGATCTTTGCTGAAGAATATAAGAATGCATTTTTCTGTATTTCTTTTCCATCAGAAAGAACTGTGTTTGAAAGGTACTCCTTTTTTGATTCAGTCCAGCCAGCTAATTGCTGGAAGTCAGGGTTTTTCTTTATTAGGGATTCAATGTCAAAGTCAAATTAATTTATGTCAGTGGTTAATTTAGGTCATTGTGCTCTGCTCTCAGTTTTCAAATGAGCACTAGTTTGCATTTCAAATTTAAGGTCATAGTTCCTTCTGAAGGCAGACAACAGCTTTTGCCTGGGTCTTCTACAAGAATAAAATCCCTTTTTTGATCACTTTAAAGAATAGCTAGACGTGAATAAATAATGTTACATCTTTCATTTTATCACAGATGCTTTACCTCTTTGCTAAAGGAAATGTAAACAGAAGATATAGATATTACATAATTTTGAACTCAGGAAAGAAAATCAGGTAAAAAATTAATGTGTTAATCTGTTACGAAACAAATCCATGTGGCTCTGTTACAATTAGCTTCATAAGAAAAAATACAGATTGATATGATACTAGTTTTATGTTTTTGAGGATTACTGTTCACCCAATTCATTGCATGTCATTACTTTACATTTCTTTATAAAAGAACTGTATTTACAAATTTCTCAATCAACCAGTCATCTTCGTTTAGGGCTTTGTAAATGGCATTAAAGGAATGGTCTGGTAGCAATTACTATTAGAAACAATTTATCCCAAGAAACAGAATTACTTTTTCTCTCTGTGTTATGGTAGGCCTATACATGCAGTTGTTGAATAATTTTTCAAGGCAACAACACACTTACCAAATTTAATAACTTACCATAAATAAGGTATTTCATTATAAGCTTTTTAGCGGGTTCCTCTGCTGTTAGCTTATAAATGAGGGAACAAGTGTAAACTCCGCTCTGGTCAGCTGTGAAATGTCTCAATATTAACGTTCCTGTTGGTGATATTTTCACACTGCTATTTTCTAGAAAATACAATAATGAAATAAATTAAGCTGGCATTATGAGAAAATGGAGAGAGAAGGGTCCAAGCAGTTATTTACTTTTATACTGGGCACACCATCATAATTATGGATTCAGTTGAAGGCACAAAACTCCTTAGAAACATAGAAAACTCCTTAGAAATTGTTCAGCATTATGAAAATTTGTCTTACTGCTGCTGAGCTTTTAAACATCAGGTCATTATATTTTTTTATTTGATCTCAGCTGCCTATTGTTTTCTAGAATACCTAACTATTCCCAAGAGGAGAAACCTGCCAGACACAGGGCGAAGTGGGCATATACTCTGTATAATTTACAGTCATACTGTCTAGTAACCTTTCAGTCTTCAGGAACTGCCTCTGCCAATTTGCTGCCTGCTGGTGTTTAACAAGCAGTAAACTTCAAAGTAGGAAAGTCTGGAAGTTCTAATTAAACAAGGACTCTCAGACAGACATTCAAAAATATATTTATCTATATATCAAAATGATTCACGCTTGTTTTAGATTATGATAAATAATCTTTCTGTCACAAAAGCTATGTGCTGTTAAAGAGACAAGTCTGGAAAAATATTCTTGGTTAATTCAAGGCAGAGGGTAAATGAAATCCTATTTTAAAGGACAAATTGTAAGTAGCGCTCATAATAAGTTTTTTAAAGAGAAAGAAAAGCACTGCTTGAGGTCAGCCTTTGGATGCTGCTGATGAGCTGTACAGCTGCCCCATGTAGCCTCGATGTGGGTTACACGATGTCACTTGATCAGCCCTTTCCTGGGTTGAGAAGTCCTCGGGCAGTGACAATACAGATCAGGATTTCTCAAATATGCAGCCCATCGTGCTGGCAGCTGTCAAGGGAAACCTTGGGAACCCCTGGACTAGAATCAATTATAATAGATTTCAAGGTAAAATAACCCCTTTGGTAAAGTATTTTGTGAATGGTTTGTCAGAGGCCAAAATAAAATAAAAAAGTCCCATTAACTTCCTAAGTAATTTAGACCTTTTAACATCTATGCTTTTGCACATGCACGCTATTTTTGGGTGCATTTGGAGGGAGATTCTAAGAAAGGTACTGGAAAAACAGTAGCCTAATTGAAGCTCATCATATACTTGGCAGGACAGTGTAGGACAGCTTTGTTCCTCATGAAGCTATTTAAGGTTTTTATTAATTTTATCATGGATGCAACTGTGGCTAAAAATAAAAAAGAAGGATTCAAGTGTTTCTTCTAGTCTCAGACAAAATCAAGAGTAATATTAACAAGACTGGAAGTGCAAATTGTTTTGATAAGCTTGGGATTTCATGTTAACCTAGCCTCTAAAATCAATCCTTTGATTTTACACTATCATTTGCTTTATAGATGATGAACAGGTTTTTAATCTGATTATGAACTACAGAAAATGCTAAGTCTATGAACTAGGATGTCATTTGTTCCTTTATGGTGGAATAGCTAATAGATAAGTCTTCACTGAAAACCCTGAAAACCAGCATGGATTTAAGAACTGTAGCTCAGATCTTTGGCATGTTCAACTGTCCTTCATCAGTCAGAAAAAAAAAATGTCAACTAAGTGGATTGCAGAAGCACCTTTAGGATGTATCACAAATTACAAATTTGGTCACAAACTATCATCCCTTCACAAAAAATATTCCTTCTGTGCATGTATTAGTTGAAAATGTGGATAAAAAGCAGCAACCTTCCTGCAAATGCAAGTTCCTTGATTCCTTCTCATCAAACTAGAACAAGCTGATCCCAATGTTAGCATTAGCAAATATTTTAAGATTGAAATGTTTTCTTTTCCTTTTCTGTTCTACTTCAGTGTTCAGAACACCTTCAAAAATGCTGTTTTATGCAGTGAAACTTTAAGATGCTAGACGTTAGAAGTAATTAAAGTTTTTTTTCTGCTTAGAGTGCATCTCGAAAAATGGTCATTCTCAACTAACAAAATAGCTAATATTTTAAAAACTTCAAAGTACACTTGCCAGATCTTAATACAAAGGAGCTGCTAAGCTAACTCTGAAGAAAATGACTTGCTAATTTTAAAGTTACAATGATTTAAAATTACATTTTGTGCAGTATTTAATTTTTCATTACTCTTTCCACTTCATGTAAGTTTACTTGGGATTGTCTTTGAACAAAGCTGCTTATTCAAAAAAAAAGGTTTTTTAATGGCTTCAGGGGAAAAGGGTTTGCTGACTTTTTGAGTTTCTAGTGTAGTCATGATATCCTAAATATACAATTAGACAAAACTTTCAGGCAACAAAACACTTTCTTCAGATGTGCTTCCAACAAACCCACCAAAAAAGTATGAAATAATATATCATGTAAGCTTTGAAAACTTTAATTTCCTACTAATACGGGGATTCAGATAGATATTGGGATAGGTATTGGAAAACTGACTACTCATTCTGAAATCCAGACAATTTCTGTCATTTGAGTGGATTAGAACCTTGCCAAATAGAGGCCAAGTGATCATAATTTTTACAAAGCAAATCCTTCATAAGCTAGAAATTTAGATTGCTTTTTTGTCTGTTTATATTTTTGATTTTCCCTGTTGTGGTGGCTGAAATGGACATCCTCTCATTACTATTTTGTTTTAAAAAGTTACTTTATAAAACCTGTCTCATCTCTATAAAAAGTTATGTCAGAAAAGTACAACCTTTCTTCTTTTCTTGAAACATTTCTGTCCTCCTGCTGCTGTTTCTAGTATATCTAAATCTAAAGCTTCCACAGAGCCAAGAACCCCTGCCGCCCTAGGTTTTGTGCTAAGGTTGGCATAGCAACTTGGGATATTACTGCAGGAATAAATTTAAACTTGTGAAATGGAAGTGAGGTCTCTGTGGTTCTGTTCTACGTGGTTAGCACTGTCAAAACTGCACTCCAGGTAAGCAGAGGCCAACAGAGTGAAAAAAGCAACTTATTGTTAATTGTGAATCTGGAGGTTGTGTTCTGTCTGATCAGATTAAGCTCAATACTAACTAATACACATGATGATATTGCTGGTAATCTACTTGTCACACATCACAGACTGGATATCAAAATTTATCAGTTACAATACAGGGCACAAAGCTAACCATGATGCATCCATCCCCATGTGGATGGATAAGGTGACACACACCGCAGTCTTAAGTATAAGCAAAAATGCTTATACATCTTTGAAGCAAAAATACAAAAAATGCTTTTTGAGGGCTAAACCCTCATCTAAGGCTAAACCCTTATCAGACTCAGAGCAAAAACGTCGTATAATATTAGATGTTATAGAATTGGGAAATACTCTACTATGATGGATGGCATGTAAAGGATTAAGAACTAAGAATCTCTGTGGTGAATATGGTAGCAGATTGCATGACACGTAAAAGTTACTCGAAAACACAAGAGAACCAAGGATAGAACTCTGATAGGCACCAGCATTTACTGAGAGGAAAGCAAATAGGATTTGAAAACACTGCTATTGTAAGAGAATGGATGATTCATAACTTGAACTGTAAAGTAAAAGATTAAAAAGGTATAAATTTCAACATTACCATGTTGAAAAAACATTTGGAGCCAAGCTATTTTCCATGGTGTCCAACTATAGGACAAGAGGCATCAGACACAAACTGAAGCACACAAAGTTTCACCGGAAAATGACGAAGAACTTCTTTCCTGTGAGGGTGACAGAGCCCAGGAACAGGCTGCCCAGACAGGCTGTGGAGTCTCCTTCTCTGGAGATCTTCCAAACCTGCCTGGATGCCACCCTGTGCCACGTGCTCTAGGTGTCCCTGTTGGAGCAATGGGGTTGGATAGCCCCGTTAGAAACATCTTTCTGAAAAAAAAAAAATCAGCTAAAATAGCTGTGTGCAGATAAGCCATAAGCTGGATTTGGCAAGGGATGTGAAGGCCCAGCAAAAACAATTGCAGCAGAAGGAAAGCAACAAAGATGTTGACCCAGGGCAGAAAGGTATGCTATAGCCAAAGGACATGGGAAACACTGAAAGATTCAATGCCACCTTTGATTCAATCTTTCCTGGCAAGGTCTGATTTCCAGGCATATCCAAGAATGCTGAGCAATCTGCCTAACTAATGGCTTTTGTCTATTTTACAAAGTCTTGGTGTTGGAGGTCCCCAGTGACTGGAGAGGCAAATAATACATCCTCCTTCAAAGCATTAAGGGGACGATCCCGACAATTATGTCTCGGTCAGCCTCAGTCCCTGCCAGCACAGTGAAGCAAGTCCTCCTGGAAACCATTTTCAGGTGCACACATGACAAGATGGTGACTGGGAACAGGCAGCATCGATCTGTCATGGACAAATCATGCCTGACCAATATGGCCATATGGACTGGAAGAGAGGAATGCAAGGTGGGTGCAAAATGGGCTGGATGGTCACTTAGAATAGAAGTCAATGGTTCAAGCTGAAAACATGAATCACAAGTACAATTTGCAGCAATTAAGGCTAAATGTATAGCAGGCTGCATTAGCAAGACTATAGCCTGCACATCAAAAGTGATTATCCCCCCACTGCTCAGCACTCAGGAAAGCACTCCGGAACATTGTGTTAGATTTTGACTTACCAGTACTAGATAGACACTAACCAAAGTCAGCAGAAAGCCTCTGAGATCATTAAGAGGCTGGAACATGTGACAAGAGGCTAAGGAAACAAATTTTTAGCCTGGAGATTGTCTAAGGAGGGATTTGCCATCTTCCACTACCTACGGTGAGACTATGGAGCCAGACTGTTCTTAAGATGTGCACCACAAAAGGACAAGAAGTAATGATGATAGGTTGCAACAGGGGAAATTGGAAAATTATGAAACTACTGCTTGCCACATGTCCTGCTCTATCTGGTAGTCTTCAAAGATGGCACCATTCTCTACAGAGATCTGCAAATGCATTCCATTCTAGTTATCCCTTTATTCATTTCTAGCTTTGTATTTTCTTATATTGAAAGTTAATTTATATGACATATATACATTCACAAAGTATCCTCAGTTAGTTCTTCTCCTTTTACATTCCCACCTTTAAAACCGTCATGCTTCTTTCTGGGAGGAGGAATGGAGGGAGAGTAGGGTTCAGAGAGCAAGCCTCAGGTATTTCTTACCTGAAAGAATATTGCCACTTGGTCCATGCCACTGGGATACTGGATCAATCAGTTCTGAGTTTCGCAGACGATTCGTAATGCACAAAATACGTGGACTGTTTTGATTCAATTTGACATAAACTTTGACTGAAAATGATTTTTTTCATCATTAGTAACATATTTATCAATGATATTCCAACAGTAAGCTATGTAAACTTCAAGATAGTAGTTCAAGGATAGTATTGATGGAGTTGTAATTTGGGGACTAGGCCTGTTATCCCTCCGCCAAAATGAAGTGTTAAATACAGAGCAGTTTTGTTTTCTCCAGGAAATCCAATTAAGAGAATTCTTTCTGGTGCCACGTTTATCTGCTTTTGTAAAGCAGATGCCACAGTGCACTGCAACATCCTCCTAAATGGAGCATGGCACCTAATATGAGAGTCTGTACAGTGCACTCGGTATTTGCTTCGAGCGGTCAGTGTTGCACTCAGTGCTGAGCTACATATTGTTTACTTCAAAAGTAATGAGATGGAAAACAAACTGAATGAAATAAATATTTATTCAGTCTTTTCCCATGGTAATAGAGGTGTGCATGCCTTTTGCATGTCTTGCATGTGATCTGTAGTGTGTACAGGTACTTCTAGCTCTAGAGTTGCTTTAAAAACTGCATGATTTTTATCCTTATAATCGCTCTTCTATTATATAGGACTTTATTTCCCTCCCCGACACTCTGAAAAGCATTTGTGATCTATCATCTCAGCAATAAGTGATGCTAGATATTCACGCTCCAGTAAAGGTTACACTCAAATATGGTGCCGTGCTCTGTATCAGGCTACTGTAATGCTATTGAAAAGCTACTAGTTTAAAATACTAGTTAGTAAAACTCCTCATTTGGAGAAATTGAATCAAATCAGCAAATTACCAAAATTTACCAAATTTACCAGATTTACCACTGGCTATTTCAGATTCTCAGCAAGTGGAAAGTAGTACACATATCTGTAGTAGGAGGGGATTTATGCATGGAAAAACAACTTGCCTTTTTCCATGACAGGAACTGGTAGAAATGACAACACTTAGTCTCCTGTCTCCTCCAAATATGACTGTTTGCTTTTATTAACAAGTGAAAAGCCACTTATACTTGTGCTGCTCAGTAAGTCATATTAAGTTGCTTAGGGAGAGCACTGGCCTAGATCTAGCATTTAATAAACTTCAATAATAATAGTTATAGTTTATTAACTATAACTATAACTATCATTATAGTTGATACCAGTTTTTATAACTTTAGAATTTGGAACAGGAGATATATTCATCTCATCTAATAGTCAGCTTTTTACAGTACCAACATATGCAGAAAACAGATAATATATATTTTCAATCATACAACAATATGTCATGGAAATAAAGTGATTTACAGGGATGCTTCTTTTTTTTTCTTTGAAGCATGAACTCTACGCATTAATGCAATTGCATTTATGTGAGCAATATTCTTCTATTGTAAATCCTTCATATTTTTCCTCAAATTTACTAACCTACTGACTGTAATAATACTCTACTATGGCAAAATTCTATACATTGCCTATCTTTTCGCTTTCTTAATATAAACTACCAAAAGAAAGCTTTAAAAAACCATAATCATTTGCCATAATTGTTTCATCTGTGGACAAAATTTACTGGGTCTAAGAACCTGGACCAAAATAAGTCGAGGCATATCTTTTTTTCACTCTCCCTGCAAACAGCAGAAGTTTTAGACATAATTTGTGCATGTTCACCCTGCTGAATGAATTAACAAAAAGAGATGTGGAGCACCTGTTGCTAGTGTGCAGTATATCTATGTGGCAGGCAACAGTGCAGACACTACTTCAGGTGAAACTGACTGTTCACTGTTGTGCTGCACAGCTTCAGTAGAGAACCTCACAGATACTTGTACATTGCCTTTGGTTCTGGTGTTAATGCAAAGAGAAGAAAATTGAATCTTTCTCCATTGCAATGTAAAAAGTGTAAAAGCAATAATGTTTTTAAAAAATGGGGGGTGCTCTGCCACCTTTGTATTCTATATACTTTGAAAATGCCTTGCCAGTAAGGGCAGACAAGTACATTTCATTCTGTTTAGCTTTCAAAGAAGTACTTTCATTTCTTTTTGACATGTTTGTATTTTGGCAGAGAGAAGAGAAATGATGTTTACTATCTGCCAGAGACACAGTGCAAGGGATAAATGGGAAAGTAAAGGACTATATGTTTTGTAAATATAGCTCACCACAGGAGAAATATCACATAGATTTTTGAGTTCATTTTCATTTATATTGTATGAAATCAAGAATTGAAAAAAAAATTAACCACCGATTTGAAACCAGATCTCCCATTTTAATAAAATGGAGCACTATGATCATGAGGCAATCATCCCCATTAAGGTGGATAGTTCTCTAACAGGAAGCTGTATCCTGAACCCGAAAGAATACCCACAGAAATTCAGTAGGGGGGGAAAAAAAAAAACAGATTGGGATAAAGACTCTTCTCTGATGAATTCTCAGCCATATGTTTGTTTGACCACCCTGGCTGACAAATAATGTTCTGTGTTTGTGAACTGCTTTTATGTATGGATGAGTCTGAAAAAAATTACTTGTGAGGATTTTGGAGAACAAAGAACTATGTGCATTTTCTGGAATAGGACTTTGTTTCAGCCTGTAGTTTGTTCTCCAGTCTTATTCACAGATAGCCCTCATGAAACTTGCATGTTATTGTTCTCACACTCACAGGGAAAAATGAAATTTTTGAAGAAAAATACCTGGAAATCGGATAGATCCCACTATTTTTAAGCTACTGCCTTCTGGCCCTGCACTTCGTAAAAATCTCTGTGAGGACTCAACTGTTCAAAAATAAAACCATTACATTAATACAACAATTAAATTTACCTGAAAAAGGAAACATATTTTAGGTTACTCTTTACCCCTAATGAATTTGTTTTTCAAGAGATATTAAGTTAATCATCTGACTCATGTCTTACACAATGTATGATTCCCATTAATGTGACAAAAATAATGACCTGACATAGAAGAGCACTGGTATTGTGAACATCACTAAAGTTTTGCTTTAAACATATTCTTAAGCTTTACAAGAGAACATTAAATTGAGCCTATTTGATAAGCACTGTCTAAAATTGGAAAAAAAAATAATTGCATTGTTGCCATGCTGTCAATCAGCATGCTAATTTGGATAATGACCTCTAATGAATTAATGAACTTAATTTTGTTAAGCTTGTACTGTGGTTTTTATAAATGTTTGAAATTTTATACAAATGACTTTTACATAAAAAAAATGTTAGATTAAAGAGCAATGGATGAAAACAGCTCTTGCTCATGTGATAAAAATTCTCATCTGCTTGTGATTCTTACACAGGGTGATGTTGATGAATAAAGTGCACTCATACTGGTGTAAAACATACATTTATCAAGCTGTGTGCTAACATAGTAACTAAGCTGAAACTGATTGTTAAATAAGCAGTTGATTTACTGATTAAAAGGAAGTCTTTGCATGATCTGCTCAGTACGAGAAGCAGTTAAGTCTCATATTTCTACTTCAAAGACTAAGCCTTCATATTCTCTAGCAGGTTAGTAAACCTGTAGTAGGATTGCCCCAGGGAGTTTTACAAATGGTCACAGCAATACTGGCATATGGCCTTAGGATAGTTTAAAAAAAAATGTATTGCATCAAAAACACTGTCAAATCAAAATAATCAACTACAGAGAAATGTTACTGCCATTTTAATTCACGTTTCTTCTATTTTAAATAGAGATTAATTTTTTTTCTTTTCAAAGCTTTGTAAGACATAAAACACTTCTGAAATAAAACTGAAGTATCTTTCAGCTGGGCATTCTAGTTCAGTTAGAGGTAGGTCTGTTTTACAGGTGATATAGAACTGAAGCCAGCAGAAAGCCAACTGCTCAGCATTCTGCATTCTTTGTCTCCACCTCCTGTTTGGAAAGAACATGAGTTATCATGAGGTATGACATGTTTGTGATTTCTCCTTCTTTCAGGGAATCTGGAAAAGAAAGCAATTAATAAAGAATAAAGAAAGCATTTATTACAAAGAGCAGCAATAATAATAATAATAATAGTAATGACTGTATCGTTAGTAGCAATTATTTTCTGAAGATGGTCTAAACATTCATGTGACACCAGATCAATGCTTGTTGCTAAATTCACTTCAATGTTGACAAAGTAAGAGCCACAACAAATACTCTGGTAAACTGATCTTAGAGTGAGGCATTTGTTGAGGTCACAGGAGATCTGGGTTCAAGTCCCAGCCTTGCTTGAATTTATCTTGATTTGAGAAATGATGGGAAACTTCAGTTCGCCTGATCTAATATACAACTGGCACTCATACGTCTCTACCTTACAGTGTTGCTACAAAAAAGAGAAGCAAGGCAGATCCTCCAGCGTTCAGAACAAGATAATCAAGGTAGGATAAAAAGAGCTGTCTACACATGTCATTTCAGAATGCAAGCAGAACACTCTATTCAAAATATTTAGGCAGGAGGAAAAAATAACACCTCACTTGGGAACAAATTCTGAGAGAAGATAATCGCAGAAGCAGTCTCATGTATGATGGATTTCTGTGATTAAGGCTTTAATTTACTTTGCAGTGCTTGCTTTACTGTGTGCCACTTCTACAACTTTGTTTGAGGAGTACAATTTTTCAAGTAACATCATTCTCCCTAAAGACCTTCCACACGCTTTGGAGGTTGTTTTAGGGTGTGTTTTATGCTATTTTTTAATTAGCATAGATTAAAATTTTCTTAGCATAATATTCACACTATCTTCTAGATTTCTGCTGCATTGATAAAAACAAAAGTATGTTTTCACTTAAATTTAGGGCCCAAAAGAACATAGTCCATTGACAAAAATCTGCATATCTGTTCAATTAAAGTATTTAAATTTATATGAATATATAAATCCTACTTGAGAAATCCTACACTTCTAAATCCCTTTTGCCGCTATTATCCATCCACATGATCAGTAAATATTTTTTATGGACTACTAGGTTGATTTATGTATCATAATTGGAAATGAAAAAGATTACCCACCAAAAAAGTTAAAATCAGGGGGAAAATGAAAACATCCATCTCAAACAGACAGGAAGGTCTTCAAAGTTTATAGAAAGAGAGAAATGTACCTAGAAAAGGGACATATGCGAGCGCAAACTGACATATGTGAGAGGAGGTATAAACTGTTTATGGGATGTTAGGGGGTATTTAATTGGTGCAAACAGGAAACATTCTTTTTTTACAATAATAATTTAAACCTAAAGATGGAGCTCTTGAACTATTTAATATACAAAGAACTAGAAAAAGTGGAACAATATAGTTAGTGAAGATATATAAGGTTTTGGATTATTCTTTGATATTTTCAATGACTGTGCATTTTTGATTTTGAGAAAACTTAAATGCTCGTCTTTCATTTTTATGTCCTTTGAATAGAGAGATGTTTCTGGCCATACATGAATCCCAGTCCTCATGTACTTGTTCTTCCCTCTCCTTTTATACTGACTTCTGAAGTATTTTCAAGTCTTTTTTCAGGTTTTCTACTTGAATACCTTTGCCATCCTCCTAATAACCTTGAATTGAAATGGAACTTCCTGCCTCAGTCTCTAGGGCAAATTATCTTCCAATTCTCATCCACCATTTTAAGAGCTTGTATGATGAGGTTAAACAGACCCACATTAAACATATCATAAAAGAAAATAAGAGGAAAAAATATGAAGAGATCATGGAGAACTACAAAGAAAGAGCAACAAAGGCAACAGACAAAAGACAGCAAAAGTGCTTAAACTACATTTTTAACTCATTGAATAATAATCTGTTTTTTTCTCTTCAACTTGCAGCTGCATTTAACAGGCAGCAGGGAAAATGAAGCTTCATTCCTTTTCAAGGAAAAAAGAAACCAGATTTCTGAGTTAATTCCTCAAATTAGTTTTCAAAGCAGCCCAAAGCGCTAGAACTATATTGGGTCTGGTTCCTCATTGCTTTGTACTTGATACACTTGTAAGGAAGCTGCAAGCAGCAGATGCTTCTGTAGAAGAAAACAGATGAAGAAAGATAGTTATACACTGCGAGCAGACTTAGGGAAGTCGAGGGTAGTTCAAAGTAGGCCCGATTCAAATTTCACAGTTGCCTGAAGAGACGTTCAAGACAACTTGTTCTTGCTAGAATTCAAGGGTATGCTTGCAGTGTAAACTGTCTATGCTACTTGAGGATTCATTGGGTGACTGTAAAACGTTCTGGAGTAAATTCAACAGCTTTAGTAAATTCATGCCACTAAAGCTAGCCAAAGCTTCTACAGAGAATTAAACAAAGCTCATGTATTTCTCAGGTATTCTGCCAAGAGGGGAAAAATTATCAGTCCCGAATGAGAAGTAGTGGGTGTACTGTGCCTGCACATACACCCAACAGCCTCTGCTCCTTCCTGGCCTCAGGTCTACAACAGTGCCAAGTCAATAGGACGTACCTTCCCAGATCCTGCCCCAAGTCAGAATCTGCTTAGGTTAATGTAAACTAAATCAGTATTAATTCATATGCACAATGAATTTTAAGATTCCATAAAGTTATTCTGCCATTTTATAAAATATCTTACTATGAATATCTTTGCCTTAAGAGGACCACTACATAGCAAAATCAATCATCATCTTCAAAATAATTCATCAGAAAATTAAATTTGGCTTGAAAATGGCACTGGCAGGAAATATTTTAAAAAGAGCTTTAAATAATTAAACAATCAATTTATTAATTAATAAAACAGTGTATTACTTGAATGTTCAACTGGCATAGTTTCACTTCATGTATTTAGAGACGAAAATCCTGTGAAGTGATAGGAAAATATTTAAGTTATGGTAACTGCTAAAAGTTTTTTTAATGTAATTATGTTTTGCATTATTTTTTGCAGAGAGATTTCTGCACCGAAAGAGTATATAAATAGCAATGCTACTTACTTAAAGCAGTTATTTCTGCTTAATCATGCTAATAGTCAACTGTTTTCCTATATCATAATATTTTAATTACAGCTGGCATTTCTAAGCTGACTGATGGAAGTGCAGTGCAGAAATATTTCCATTTCTATTACTAGTCTTATAAAAGTAGTAACAGGAGCAACTGAACTTCAGCTTCTTATCTGTCTCATGTTTAATGATTTGGAAAAAGTTCTGCAATACCTGAGCAGGGTTTTGCTTTCTATCCGGCCTTCACGCTTCTGGTCTGACAGCTACAGTGGCACTAACACATTTTATAAATTAAGTTTAAAAGGGACACTTTTTCCACTAATTATGCTATTTTAAAGCTACTTTAAAGCTGTCCTGTCCTTCCTGTATGTCTATTCCCTTCAGATAGCTCAGGAAAGTCAAGTCTAATTAAGACATTTTAAGTCCACACTGGGAGCAAGCAGTTTAATTATTTACTTACAGAAAAACACATGAATCTAAACTGTGACCACTAGTAAATAGCAAACAAAACTAACGAAAAATCTTATGCTTATGTTCACATGCTTTCCTTCAGTCTCCACTCAGGCCATGCGAATGACTCATAAATTGCAATAAATGCCATGCTTGGAGATGGCAATGCCTATTATATCCATTAAAGAAAACCTAAGGTAAAGGAAATACTGGGACAGCCATGGTTTAGTGAATATAGGCCGAAAACCTGCATCTAGCCCTAGCCTTCACAACCCTTTAGCTTCCTCCTCCATGTCCACACGGAAGGAGCAAACCCTGCCCACCCAGCTGCAGTGTCCACACGGACAGGTAGCTCGAGGGGCACCGTGTCGATTATGCACGAGGGCCGGTGCCCGGGCCCGGCCGCGGCAGCTCGGGTACCTGCGGCGGGTGCCTGCGGCAGGACGAGGATAAGGACGAGGGCGAGCACGAGGTAGAGGACGGGCAGGCGGCCGGCGGCGACCGTTGCCCGGCGGCGGCGCCACATCCCCCCTGGCTGAGCCGCCCGCTGCGGCGCGCGCC